ATTGTCTGCTGCTTTAAAACGGACTATATAAGCCAGATAAGGTCGGGCAACTATTGTACGCTTTTCCTCTTTTTCATAGGATATAATTTCCGGAAATATAAAAACAGCAAATCTTCTCCTTTCGGCAAACCAAATGAACATCCAAACTTCACTTCACTTCACTTCACTCACTCACTCACTCACTCACTCACTCACAAATTTCTATTATTTCATAATTTGTGTTTATGCACAGTTTCGCGTCGAAATTCTGCCAGATATTGTTTGCACTTGTTCTCTGCCCGCGTATTTGTCAAACCGACTCAGGCCCTGGTAGGTAGGTAGGTAGGTAGGTAGGTAGGCGCAGATAGATGTGTGCCTCAATTTCAGATTTTGTCCGTAGTGCCATGGAACATGTGCAGTAATGCTCCGAGTGACGAGAGTGTTCTCTACACACTAGATGCTTTTGAACCTTCGCCGTAAAGTCGACTATGTCCTGCGCGTATGTGTGGGTACCCTTAGAAAGGACGTATTCAACAAAGATAAACCAGATTTGTTTGTTCATGGAGCCACTAGTTTTTGTAACATTGTGATCCGCACGTCATTCCCCGTTCTTCAACTACGTACTGCGTAGCAGTCTTTCCCCCCTCCCTAGATGCTTCCACTCATTCGTCTACCTGTAATTCATCCCGACGACGATCGGGTTAACGTGTATTGACAGCGACATCCCCCTGGGTCACTGCTCAAATGCATGAAAACGAACATTTGCGTTTTTATTGTTCATCACTGTGCTTTCATGCTTTCATCCATAGGGAAGATAGAACCTAGTGGGTGACGGAAAAAGGAAATCTCTCTTTCTTCAGAAACTTCTTCGTATTATTTTTCTTATCCTTTCTTTATGATCTTTGGAACATTGGTTTTGGTGTTAAGAAGAAAAAACAAAAAAATTAATCTATACAATAATCTAAAAATTAAGTGTAAACCGTGGCTTATAAAACAATTTTAATGAAATGAAGAGGAAAGAAGAAGTGATGAAAATAATGCTCAATAATACTTAAATACTTAAATGCTAATCAAGAGATTTATATAAAATTTAAAATAAATAAAAGTAAATGAATTAAGAAAATTCTCGACCATGACTTGTAACCAAATTAATAATAAAATTAATTTTTTTTTTTTTTTTTTGATTTGTAATCAAAAAAACATCAACCACCGCAACAAAATGCTTACTTTTGATATTTAAATTTTTTTATTTTGTTATTATTAAGTTTCTTAAGGTAAATGAAATAAAGAATATTACTTATATATGTGTGTATGTATGTATGTATGTATGTATGTATGTATGTCTTAAAATTATTATATACTATTTATATACATATACAACACTTACACAAATAATAATAAAAAAAATATATATTAATGAAAATTGAAAATAAATGTAAATCTTTAAATAAAATATCAATAAATTAGTGACTAAGTCATTATTTAATAACAATAATAATAATAATAATACCTCTAATAATACATCCCCGAGTCATTATACAATTACTATTTCACTTATTTTAATTTCATTTTTTCATCGCTGGTATTATACTGTTTTGCCTAAGAACCAAATAAGCGCCTTTTCATGAGCTTTCTTTTTTCTTTAAACATATTATATACAACAACAAATATATGATAGACACAAGATAAGGAATAAATAAATTTCGCCTATAGGCGATTTCAACTACCCGTCATTGAGCGTGATAGGAACTACTAATGACGTTTATGATGTGACATCTGAGACGGATATCTGCCAGAATACGATTAATTAAAAAAAAAAAAAATTATTTCTGATATTCCATATACCCAATAAGCAATTTTAACTTGAACACAGTATTATGAAGTATGTGAGTATTAGATTTCCAAACTAAGGCCAGCTATTAGCGCAAAAAATGCCTTTTGCTAAATGACATGACTTTTTATATTTCTTAGGCCATCATTACAGAATCAAACAAAAATTCGCACAAGAAATCCATTTTTGACGTTTAATTGAGAAAATCGTTCCGCAGAGATAATTCCACAAAAGCCATTGCTTAACAAGATTAAAATAATTAACCATCCATCCATCGTCATTATTATTAGTGACTGGTATTGGCTATTAATAGGTCTTATAACCTTACTTATATAACATATGAGAGAAGCAAAGATCTCGAAAAGAGGCGCATCCGATTGCTTTGGCAAGACCTGATGATGTTTAATCAGTTAACTGTGTACGACGAATATATACGTCATGAAAAAAAAGTACAAAATGTTTTATTATGATCACTATATATATATATATCATGGTACTTATAAAATTTCATTATTACGAAGGTGCATTCATCATAATAATATTTTTAGAATGTGCTTATGTCATTTTGTCAACTTATTATTACACATTACATACACTCTGGCTGTCATCATTTTCTAAAGAGTTCCGCACAGTTAAACGTCAAAAAGTTTTCCTTCATCCTTCCGTTTTTTACAAGTCTTCGGAACACCTTCAACTTCTCTCTCTTCTTCAAAACTCACTTAAACATATCGCTCAAACTATCGAGATGCTTGATATGTTCGGATTGTAGAATTCTATTTGCATAACACTGACTTAAATTAAAATATATATAAATTCAAACTAAACCATTTATTTTCACTCATCAAAATAATCAAATCTTAATCGAGTCTTCAATTAAATTTTCCTTCCGAACTTAACGATGACTTTAAGCAACGGATAGACAGATAAATCCATTTGAAATCAATACGAATAAATAAATAAAAATTAAAGTTCATATGAGAAATTTCGTTTGCATTTCACAAAGGTAATCGTTATATTCCCTTGATCCGATGATGGGTACAAGAATGCAATCATGTACAAAGTTCCATATAAAAAATAATGCTGCAAGAGTTTATTTTAAAAACAAGAAAAAAAAAAATTATTGCATATACATATATATATATATATATATAATATTAATAAGATGCAAAAATCTTTTGGCGAATTTATAAAAAAAAAAAAAATATTAAGAGAAAAATTCGATAATACAGACAATTGCATTTATTGAATAAATTCATATAATAAAAATATATTTGTTTTAATTTAAGATGGAAAATGAAAAAGAAAGCATAATTAATTACGAAAAAAAAAAAAAAAAAAAAATTACACAATATATTAATTAATAATAAACTTTCTATTAAAACGATGTTTCAAGACGAAGCAAAAAAAAAACAAAAGAATTAATTATTTAAGAACAAATATTTAAGCAAAGAATATATTATTAAATGATGATGATTTCAAAAGTTCAAATGAAAAGATAAAAACTTGTGAAAAAGCAAATAAATGATGAGTATGTACAGAAAACTAATAATCGTTTAGTGTCTTGAATTTTTGTTTTAATCTCTTCAGTGCTCTTATAAAAATATCTTCGAAACCGTTTGGTATTTTTTGTTGCATCTCTTCATTTTTTCAAATCGTTTTGAATACATTCTTTCGCAGAGACCAATGAAGTCTATAGCTTAAAGACCAATGAAGTCTATAGCTTGGGTATTTTATATATATCATTATAATATTAATCGCATAGAATTTTCTCATTTCGGAAACATTTGTATTGAATGAGCCCTTTCAGCAATAAATGGCATATGGAACAGTTCCTTATACAATATATATATATATATATATATATATATATATATATCAAAATATACTGGGTAAATATATGGTGAAATATAAATATGATGTTACATCAGCCATTTTAAGAGCAAGGGCATGGCTTTTTGATGAATACGTTATTGTTTCTTGCGTAGCGAAGTATAGCACGTCGACGTTGCTTCATATCTACGTCATTTTCAAAAATACGTACACTTCCATCCGAATCCGAACATTCTTGCTTAACTCTGAGTGGTCGCCGTGCAAGGGTGTATTAAGCTTGCGCGGATGTATGCAACATTCAGAATGACTTGAGAGATAGACTCATCTTTTATTAAACTGATCTATGTTTATCTGTCCATCTGTCTGACTATTCTCTTTTCTCCTTAAATGATTTATATTTATTTTCGAATTTTGATCGAAAGACGAACGCTACTGAGAGATAGACTCATTTTTTATTAAATTGATCTATGCTTGTCTGTCTGCCCGTCCGGTTATTCGTCTTATTCCTCAATACCTATTTTGTCCATTTCAAAGTAATCCCTCTTAGATATGATACAATTTTATATACTTATATCTATATCATAGCGCATATTCACTTAAAAGCACAGACTACTTTTGGTTCGTAAGTATTTGATACCGTATGAAATCGTATCAAAAAATCTGACATATAATGAGAATAAAACAGCAAGCAATTAAATGGCTGCTAATTAGCAGTGCTAACGCTGTTATTTAGAAGAGAACCTTGAAATGCTCCAAAGTTTTTATTAGCTTCTTTTTAAGAAAGATGTTGGCGTATCTTATCTCCGATATAATGCTTTTATATCGTAAAACGCATAAAGTTTTCGTTTTGCATAAAAGCTGTAGGTTTGTGTCTTTTCCGAAACAACAAGTGGATGTCTTTGGTAAATAACACCTCTAGGCGCCATGTAGAGAATTTGACTAACAAATATACGGTCCCTTATGATTCATACAATTGGTGGCGACAATTGCTTAAATTATAGCGTTGCCACTAAATTCTAATTTTCAATGTTTTGAAACCCTACTTTTTATATACATATGTAATTCACAATAGCGCCAATTACGTAAATCTGTACAAGAAGTAAATGGAGGAAACTAAGTAATAGACACAAATGAAAAGAGGTTCAAAACTATAAATTCTTTGTAAAACAGAAGCTATCTTTAATATATAAATATATATATATATATATATATATATATAAATTTATATATACAGTTTCGTTTGAATTCCCTAAAGCGATAAAATAAACCGTTTACATACATAATATAAGTAAACTGTAACTTAAAAAGCTTCTCTGCAATTATCTTTTAGCCAATACGATTGAATCGGCAACCCTGTCTTTGAAAGCGTAGCGCATGAAAATCATTTCCAACTTATGTTGTTTACGAGAAATATTTTTTATACAAATTTATGCTGTTAGAAATTTTGTAAAGAAGAAATCATATCGCGGAACAAAAATGTCGGAAATGCGTATACGACCGCGTCAAGTGTTAATTTTAATCATCGTCTTCCTGGTCGTTTTACTAATGGTTCATCGCAATTGCAAATCCACCTACGTTACAGGTCATTATTGCAAAAAATTCAACCAATCGAAACGATGGAGTGTACCCTCATGGAACGTGCCTCTTTGGAACGTACCTATATGGAACGTACCTCTACGGGACGTATCTTTGTGGATAAATTCGATAAGAACTTAAAATTTTGAAGAATTTAACTTTAAACAATCATTATAATTTGACATATAAGCTACAAATGTATTGGCTTAGTCCATCTCCACTCAACAAACCAAAAAAAAAAAAAAAAAAATCATTGTAATTATACAGTAATTTGAATTGAAACAATTGCTTTGCGTAATATTTAAAAATATGCTCTAAATAACCACCGAAGTATTCGATTCATTCGATTCATAATCCATCTGAGAAATTAAAAATTTTTTTTAATATTTTTAGGACCCGAATATTTGCAAGCTATGTACGCAAAGCAGCAAAATGAAGAATTGCCGAAAATTTATGCCATAACACCTACCTACGCCCGGCCGCAACAAAAGGCTGAATTGACAAGGTAAATTGCAGAATCAATAACATAATAAGATTAACTTTTATTCGATTTTACCTGCAGACTGTCTCATATATTTATACTAGTTCCTAATTTACACTGGATTATAGTGGAAGATTCCAATAATTCAACTCAACTTGTAAGAAATTTATTAGAAAAATCAGGTTTAACGCAACGGTCCTCTATGTTGCACATAAAAACACCAGCTGCCTTTAAATTACAAAATAAAGATCCCAATTGGATTAAACCACGCGGCGTAGAACAACGCAATTTGGCATTAAATTGGGTGCGTACAAATGTCGATCCTGATAAGCACAGTATTGTCTATTTTATGGACGACGATAATGCTTATAGTGCGGAATTATTTGTTGAAATGAGTAAAACTAAAACGGGATGTGTCTCAGTATGGCCTGTCGGCTTAGTAGGTGGGTTAATGGTAGAGAAACCTATTTTAAATACAGATCAAACTCAAGTCATTGGTTTCAACTCTGCTTGGCGTCCGGAACGGCCATTCCCCATTGATATGGCTGCTTTTGCTATCAGCATAGATTTACTGTTTAAATTCCCTCAGGCAATATTTTCTTATGAGGTCCAACGTGGCTACCAAGAAACCGAGATATTAAGACATTTAACGACACGACAACAATTGCAACCATTAGCCAATCAATGTCGTGATGTATTGGTTTGGCATACACGAACCGAAAAGACTAAATTAACAGCCGAAGAAGCCTTAAATAAGCAAGGCAAACGTTCAGATGACGGCTTAGAAGTGTAAAAATCAAATTAACTTTCACACGAACAAATAAGGTTGTTTTACTTTACTCCCTCTCTCTTCCTCTTTGCTTTCATGCTTCAGAAGAGATCTATTAGCAAATTAATCTCCCATTTGTACATGTTTAAATTATGCCTTTTTTTCTTTTTTTTTTTTTTTAATTTAAATCATAAAAAAACATTTTTGTAATTTATTTAAATAAAAATTAGTTAGATAATAATAAAGGCAGACCTAAGTTTACCAATCATGTACATTATTATATCGTCACATATTGATCTGTGTTCAATACGAGTCGTGTCCAAATTGTGAAGCAACTGTGGAAAATTTAAACAAAATCATGCTGAGTGATGAGGCCAGTTTCAATCTATTTGTATGTACACATACGGAAAATTGTCTTCAGTCATTAATTGAGCGAGTGGCACTTTTTCGAAAATTGTTCGGATTCGATCGTTACGACACCTTTTGTGTTTGTTTACCCTGACATTGACTTTTCGCTTATGGGCCATTTTCAGCAGAACTGCATCGCCTGCCACACAGCGACTATTCAAATGAAGCTCTGTTGGGTAAAAAAATTTACACTTGTTATTAAACGATCGTATATGAATAAAAGATAATTAATAAAATAATGGATTGCAAATGTAAAAAAAAGAAGAAATAGGAATAAGATCGTGGACTATATGCCGCGAAAACCTATGTTGTGGAGAGAAGAAGAGAAAAATCTCTTTTCTAGTTAATGAAATTAGATTTAGTTATTATGTCGGCCGATGAGCGTAGGGAGCATTTCAAAGCCCAACCGGAAGTTATTAAGTTTTCAACTTTTGTAATACGCGATATTTCAAGCCCCTTCTCAATGCAATTCTGTGCAATAGAAATATCCTAATCGATGCAGGTATTTTGAAATTGAATCCCTTAATCTCAAGGGCAAAGGTGTAACTATAGCTGCCTCCGTTTTGGCAAAAATTAATTTATTTTTAAACTTAAGCCTAGTTGCTAATATTAACCTTTGTTTCGCTTTTATTGTTATTAAACTTTTTTTTATTTTTTTTTTTAACCTATTCTAACGCTTGTTAATTTTTACTTTATAAAGCTAAAGCTGAAGCTTCAACTTTTTCAAAACCAAAAAAAAAAAAAATTCAACAGACAATTTTAGAAAGTTTTGCTTATTACTATAATTAAAAACACAAATTATTTTTCTGATGATTTTTCAGTCTTCCCAAAAACAAGTTCTAAATATTCCTTTGTTTATTAATTATTTAAAGGTTTAATGACTGTTATGACTAAATATTATATTTAAAAGCTTTTCATATATAATATGTCCACTCTCTGTACTTGGAAAGTGTGCAACCGGTTAAACTTGAGTTCAATGCTTTTTTACGCTAAACAAAAAAAAATTTTTGAGCGGTTAGTTTTCCAAATAATTTTATTAAAAAATATATATATTTTAAAATAACGGACCCTTATTATTATTATAATTGAAAACAAAAGAAAAAAATCCTTCATTTTAATTAAAAAAAAATAATTATGGAACGTTGGAGTGGTAAAGTTGCTGTTGTAACTGGTGCCAGCTCAGGCATTGGTTGGTCGATTTGCAAACATCTACTAGAGAACAATATGGTTGTTATTGGTTTGGCTAAGCGACTTAAGGTTATGGAGGAATTACGTGAAGAGCTATCGAAAGCGCAAATGGATCGTTTCTTTCCTCGAGAATGTGATCTCACTTCATTACCATCACTGCGTACGGCATTCCACTGGATTGAACAGCGTTTTGCCCAACGAATGCATGTTTTAATCAATAATGCCGCCATTTTAGAATATTCGAAACTCTTGGATCCAGGAAACGACGAGGCTCTACAGCGCGTAATTGATGTTAATTTAATGGGCGCCATCTATTGCACCAAGGAAGCGTATCGTTTAATGAAAAAAGCAATGGCTTTTGGCGAAGAATGTCATATGATTAATGTTAATAGTTTATTGGGTCATGTCGTGCCAGAGCATATACCTAATCGTGGCTTCAATCTATATCCGGTTGCTAAGCATGCTTTGAGGGCCACCAATGAAGTGTTGCGAAGAGAAATGTTTGAAGACAAACTTTTGCGTATATCGGTGAGTAAACGAAATTACATTAACTTGAAATCGTTTGAAATTTCAATAATTTAAAAAATAAAAAAAAACCAAAAACCAAAAATACACAATGGAAGTAAATAAATGAAATGAGTATAAATGAGCTATATATTTATGCCCTGCAACGGCGGAATCTTTGAATAGCGCAAAATTTCATAGCGATATTTGTCACCCAATATATTGTGTATGTGGAAATGAAAGCGCAAGAACCAACAAGAAATAGATTCGCTTCAGAAATCCAAGATAATCGATTATTAATACATTCTACAGTATATCCCACTAATAAGCTTAATATGTTTCACTCTATATTTCCATATAAAAAATAAATTCGTGACAAATCCAATACCTTGTTCCTTATCATAGATTTTCCGCCTCTAAAGATAGTCACTTCAAAATTAAAAATTTTCAATTTTTTGCAGACCATTAGTCCTGGAGTTACAGCAACCGATATGAGCGCTAAGACCAATGAGCATCTGGAGAATTTAGGCGAATCGCCAGAAATTTTTGAACTTTTAAAGCCGGAAGATGTGGCCAAAGGTATTTTATTTATATTGGGCTCACCAGCTCACGTAACCATAGCGGAATTACTGATGGTACCGACGGGAGAAAAATATTAAAAATATAAACCTTTTCTTTTTTTTATCTGGCATGCAAAACATGAAAAACCATACAATTCAATCTTCTCTGATTGTAAGAAAAGAAAAAAACAGCAAATAATATAATTTCAAAATTTCTCCTACATTTAAAACATTACAAAAAAAAAAGAATTTAAGAATAAAAAATCAAAATTTCTCTTATAAGTCGCCTTTTAACACAAAATTTCGTTACACGAAACAAATTTTATCTCAAAATGATGAACTCAATGAGATGCTTTCATTTTATCAGCCTCGACTATTGGAAGGATAAGTGTGTAATGCTTGTAATGAGTCATAATAAATGCGGCCTTCCTTTAGTGCGTGGCTTTCTCGGCTTGGGTATGTATGTAATTGCTGTCTCTCGTTACAAAAATCAATCGGAATATATGCGTGGCTTACTAAGTGAACGTGAATCTCAACGTTTCATAACAAGAGAAGTTGATCTACATTCTGTCCTAAATATACAACATCTGCTTAAAGAATTAGTTGTAACGGTGGAAACGGTCCATTTACTTATTATGTTAATACCAAAAATATCGATGCAAGAGAGTAACGTATTATTTGAACCTGGAAATGAATCAATTTTACAGTCCGTAATGGAAATTGACGATCTATCCACGGACGCTTTTATTTCATTCGCTAAAAGAATTCTTCTGCATAATAATCCTGTTTGGGTTATATGTTTCAACCATAAGCAAGCCAGTTTGGTATGGGAATATTTACAAAATCTTATAAAATTGGGCGAAGGTGCAGAACGTGAAATCGAAGTCCACTTAAAACGTGACCAGAAGATTCATATTTAAGTTCTCGTTTCGTAAGAAAAATTACCTATTATTGGAAACGGTAAATAAAACGGCAATGCGTAACTTATTTAGTCCATAAGTCATATGTTGCCCAAATAATTGCAAGGGAAAAGGAAGGGGGGTGAAAGAAGACAATTCAATATCAATTTAGTTGTGCAATTTCACTTACTTGCCAACACTTTTATAATTTTCTTAAGTAACTTTTAGAATTCTAAGAATAGCAAACGTTTTCTTTAAGCGAGAATTACTTACTTTTTTTTGTGACTATTAGTTGCCTGGTTGAAAATATACCTATGGCATATCAAAAGGAAACGCATACGAAATGTGGCGAGCGAATGCGCGTATACGTATGTTTTTGCATTTACGAAAGATTATTAATAATTGAAAGAAACGAAAAATAACAATTATTCTTCTAAGCTTATTTTGGTTTTTTTTTTTTTGAGGTTTTTACTTTACAGTACTTAGAAGAAGCTAGTTGGCGCGAAATTTTTCAATGCGTTCACTCAAAAGATAAAGCTTCGCGATCAAGTAACACTTAAATTTCGATAAAAGCGTTTGAGTTTATTGTATTGTAATATTCTTGCTTTTGTCGCAACTAAACTTTCACTGCGCGTTCATATTTATTGTCGTACTAGTGAATTAACGGTATACTCGTATTGATGTTGCCAAGTCCTTCGGTTATAAATCTGAAAAATCTCGTAGTTTTGTTCACGCTTTTTCTTAATAACGTAAATAAATAACGCTTTTTTTTTTGCTAAACATGGCAACCTTACTTTTTACAGATCGTAATACGTGAAAAAATTGTATGTTTAGGGAAAAATTCAGCTAAAAGTCTCTACAATTTTTTAAAAGCGCGTATATTAAAAACGAAAAAACAAATGAGTGGGTATCGTCCAGGCCAATTGATTAGAGAAATCAAAGCTCGGCCAGGGATCTATGATAAAGAGCATCTACAACATCCAAAGCGGGAACATAAACATAAGCTTTGGTTGGAAGTAGCCGAATGTTTGACGCCGGACGAAGATTGGGAGCAATACACAGAACAAGAAAAAGAAGCGCGTAGTAAGTAAAAGAACTGAGCTAAATTTGCAGATAAATAGTGGAACTTGATTTTATACTCACTTCATATTTATTTGTCAGTCGATGAAATTCAGTTAAAATGGAAGCATATGCGCGATCATTTCTATCGTGAAATCAAACTGCAACAGGCGGGTGAGGCTCATAAAAAACGTAAATATGTATATTTTGATGATATGGAATTTATGCGACCGTTCGTTGGTTTTAAGTTAATGCCGCTTAAAATTAAACAAATGCCTCATAATAGTGACGATGAAGAAGAAGAAGAAGTCGAACAAAATACCGGAGACGAAGAAGTTGATTGCGATGATTATGTTGACAACAATGTGGCAGCGGAGGAAGAGGTACTCACTATTGAGCCGACCACTCCTGAGTTAAGACGCACTTCCAAACGGATTGTAAAAAGCACTCAAAAAAATGTATTGCCTCCGAAACGTTTAAGTGCAAGTTTGCCGGCATCCAGCAAATCCCAATTAATAAGTAAAGCCCGTAAGACTAGTATAATAAAAAATTTTGACGCTTTACGTAAATCTAGTGGAGGTAGTACAAAAAACTCTCCAGCCACCCAAACTGCAGCAATTCCTCACACTTTTAAAATACGTGATGGCGATATAAGTTTTTGCCTCTCTTTAGTGCCCACTCTACGCAAATTGAGCGAAAGTCAAAAATTGCGTGCAAAAATTGAAATTTTAAAAGTTCTACATAAAACTGTAGAGGCAGCAGAATTAGGAGCAAAAAACCAGAATCCGAAAATGGTAGAACATCATTTAGAGGACGATGATGATCAAATACATGTGAAAGACGAGTTAAATGAATATGAAAACGGGCATGAAGATAATGACCCACTTACTGGTAGTAGTGGACGTGCACCTACTGGTAACACTAAAACTTGGTGGACTTAAATTAGTGAAAAGTTTTTATTTTTATTAAAAAAAAAGTTATATTCGCCTTAAGGCGAGTTATGAATAACCATCACCTGGAACATTTTTTCTTATTAATTATTAGCGTGTATTTAGGTTCGATTTTTTAAACGGCAGTGCATGATATTTTAACCAAATTTTCGATAGCGAGTTATCAACAACTTTTCGAAATTTATGGTTTTTCCCAACTACTTTTTTCATGGTCACATTAATTTTCAAGCCAAATCTCTGTACTTTATCTAGAATATATATGTATATGCCAAACTTTAGCTTTATCTTTCAATTATTACGACTAAACTGTAAATCAATGAACGACAAACCAGACATATTTCAATCGTCTCAGAATATCAGGCTTATTATAAGCATACAAGCTTATGATTGGAATGGGGAGTCTATTTACGTTGCACCTACTCCGAGAGCGTTTAGTTAGTATGCACTAAATCTCCGGTGGTGGATGTAGAGATTAAGATTTATTTTTAAAAATAAGAAAACATTGTAAATAAGAAGAGTATTTACAAATTTAAATGAAGGTAATTCAATAAATGTTAAGTACTAGCAGTATATTTATACTTATTTAAACTAATTTTTTTTTATCACGAAACTATAAATTTTTTCTATAAACTTCTGGACAGTTCGAATAAAAGCAAATAATGTCAATTGCAAGAGGGAGAGACTAAATGCTTTGACGTCTAAGAAAAAAAATTTGAACGCAGTGCGTATCGATAGAAGAGTTATATGGACAAAGTCCCCCATCATCCGCTCTAAGCTTGAGTGCATTTTAATCCTATAATCAAGTTTCAAGTAATGTGACACATAACGGATCAACATTCAAACAAATTTAGCAATTGAGCCGAATTCATCCAAGTTCGGGATAATCTTCGTGTACACGAATCAATTTTATATAAAAAAAGCATTTAACTTGTCGATCGAGTTAGCACTTAAATGCTAACAAACTCTTACTTTGGCTTGCTTCTCTGTTACTGAGTGTATTTCAAATTCAACGAAATCGTCGTGTTCAAAGCAAATTGTTGAAATTGAACTTTTGCTTAATTGACTCTTGTGTTTTTATGTATTAAAAAGCATTTAAGAAAGAAAGAACAAGAAAGAAGAATAAAGTCGGCTGTCGCTGCCCACATTTTTATAACTCGGGTATACGTCTATATATATATGGAAGAAACCAGTAGAAAAAAGCGAGTTAACGGAATATATCCATATATATACGCATAAGGATATACATAGATATATATACATATTATATGTCCTGTCTGTGGACCCGCCGTTTTCTATATATATATATATATATGGGGATATGTACATTTATGTAAAGATATATAGATATATGTATTCTATATATAATATCAAATCATCAAATCATTTGATATATCTGATAATAAATATATATACCCTTATATTATATATCCTATATAATATATATATATATATCCTATCTTATTTATATCCTTATATCCTTATATATATACATATATATATCCTTTCTTTGGACTTGCCTTTTTTCTGTTCGTTTCCTACAGTGTTTTCTAACAAAAATTCCATAACCGTCTGTCATTTTTAACCATGGAACCGCGCATACGTAAAATTCGTTACAAGACGAGTTCGGTTTTTATTTCAAACACTTTTTCTAATTTAGTCTTTCTATGTTTATTTTCTTTTTGATTATTTTTGTCAAGTTATACATTATTTGTTTATGTTTATGTTTACATATCTTTTTTTTTTTTTTTTCTTCTTTTTTAATATTAGGTTATGTTTTGATATTTCATTGTAAATGACTTGAATGGTCGTTCGGTATATGTGAATGTTTATAACATATATTCTGAATGTATATATGATATAAGTACATTTTTGTTTATATAATATTTATATGTATGCATGTTTTCATAAAATTCTAGATTATTTGTAAAAATGATATTCTTTAAGCTGAAATTAAAAAAAAACTTAATTAAATCTGCCATCTGATTATATTTGTTTTTTAACGGTCACAAGCTACCCGTCCACGCAAACACACATCACAAATCCCGTCAAGTATTCATATTTCAAAGTCGACGACTTAGTATTAATCGTTTTTGTCGTTAATTTTCAAAAACCGCCAGCGTCACGAATATTTATTGAGGCAGAAGACTGAACCTCGTAATATATGTCAGTTCTTATATACGATATGGTTACAGATCATTCGCCCAAAACCATGCCCGCTATAAGCAATAGAAGATGTTGAAATACAACTTTGTACAGAATGACACACCATTGGAGTTGGGGTATATTTCAAAAGAAATTATAGTCAACTATGAAAACCTTATCGCCCTACTATATATATATATATATATATTCATGCAGTTCATACATGACATCAGGCGTTTTACCTAAACCTAATGTTATCGCCGTGTTTGCATGCGTATAACGTATGTGAATAAACACTCAATAACGTGGAAGTATATTGTATAATTTGTATATAATAAAGAAGGCTAAGATGGATAGTTGTTAATTTGTAATTTTTTCTTCACTATAGAAGCGGCGAAACCTATATTTCGACTAAGGCTGATCTTTGAATTCAACCTGACGGGATTCTCAAAACCTCGTTTACTCTTTTTAATCGGAATTTTGAAAAGGCATCCATGGCTCAAATTCTACGGACGGAACGGCAAGATTCGATCATGGCGATCATCGACGAGGTATTCACATAAATATTAGTTAAAAATTGCGTGCGCAAGTGGAAATAAAGTTTTAAGAAAAAAGAGTAATGAGCCACACATACAATTAATGGAATAGTCTCTTCGACTTGGTATTTGACGAATTTAATGTACCCCTCCGAAGGAAGCCAGATATAAAATATATATATACATATATATATATATTTATATGAAATACCATAAATAAATAAATATAGGGTTACATTAATTATAAAATTAAGCGATTAAAAACTAAGAGGAATGATAAATAAAACCGTAATAACTATATTTATATATTTAAATACAAGTATAACATAAAAAATGAAAACACAAAAAAATTAATTTAAAAAGTATTAAATCTTCATATTTATTTATGTATATAGTTGTTGTTGTTTTTTTTTTTTTTTTTTTTTTAAACATTTATATATTTAAAAAAAGAGCCACATGAAAATGAACTACAAAAAAACAAAAAAAATAAAAAATAAATAAGAAAAGAAAAAAGTTAAATTGAAAAGCAGACGATATTAATAAATTATAGATTTACAAAAAAGTGAAAAAGCATAAAAGAAATTAAAAGAAATAATAAGAAATCAATCAATTTTAATCTTGTGGGTGTTTTTTTTTTTTTTCTAATTATTCTTTTTTAAAAAAGGCTCTTATTTTCGCTACCTTTCTATCGCCTTTTTCCTTTAAATACTTTCTAATTCTCATATAATATATATTTGTTTTTTTTATTATTATTATTATTATTATTATTATTAGCATTTTTTTAATATATGTATAAAGACGAAGAATGCTTGATGTATATGTTATATATATAAATAAATTTTTGTTACACAAGTTTTTTCTTTCTTTTTATATAAATAAATGCAATCGTTTGACAAAAATTGTTGTTTTCTTTTTCTATGTATAATATAGGGTTTTGATAACACTAAATATATTTGATATTTTCATTATCATGCTTCGGAAATTGATTTCTTTTGCTTTTTTCTCAAATTTTTAAGCTCTTTTTTTTTAAATTTATTTTCAGTTTAAGATGAAACATTACTATAAAATAGATTTGTTTTCGATTTTTCAATAAAATATTCGAAAATAGAAAATCAAAGAGAAAAAAAAAGTGCCTTTAAAATATAAATCGGAATAAAGCACGATCACATACATAATACATGTAGCAAATATGTTTTTAGAAAATATATAAAAATAAGCGGATAATTATTTAAGCAATGTTTTTTATTTTTTTTATTTTTTTTTTTCCTTTCCACTTTTTTCCAGAAGATTTCCTTTTACAAGACAAACTTGAAGCGTGTTTGCCGCTGCTTTTAAGTTCAATATAATAAATCTGTTTTCTGAGTTCCTTCACTATAAGCTACGTTGAGATCATCATCAGCTGGTTTAATAAATGGCAAACTATCTGGTTGATCGTCGCCTCTACGTTGCTCGCCATTTGCTGCATCATTATTCTCATAGTTTAAACCATCGGTGATACCCACAATACTGCCGCCACCGTTTACGCCATTTATCAATAAATTATTAAAACCGTCACAGTTTGTTGCGGTGGCACTGTTGGTGGTGGTGGTGGTGGTGGTCGTGGTTGATGTGCTAGCACTCGAATCCGACTCTCTCTTATCTTTCTTAGTATGACTGCTGTTGCTGCTGCTGCTGCTGCTGCTGCTACTGCTGCTGCTGCCTAACAACGGTGCTCGAGTTATACCCAATTGAAAATGTTTATCTAAAGGAGCTTTTATAGGCGTGTAGAAGCTAAGTTGTGCTGAACCTGTGGTACACAAACGGGAGAAAATATTCTCATTAATACATTTTTTTTTTTTTTTTTATTAATTTTTTTAAAATTTTACATTTGATTGTGATAAAAAGCCATAGACAAAAGCTTAAACAAATAAAAAAGAAGAAGAAAAGCTAAGCAAAAAAAATTAATTACACAAAAGAAAAAGAAATTAAAGTTTACTATAAAAAAAAGGGCTTAAAAAGTTTATATCAAAAGTAACCAATCTCAAGCCTCACATCATGATGATGATGATCGCGATAATGATGGTGTCTCCTCTATAAATTTTAATAAAAAAAAAAAAAATTTCATTCAAAATGCTTAATTTTAATAATCGGAGAGTAGTGGTGCTTGAACACAACGGACAATTTTGCTGACAGACATACGCTTCAGGTCATAATGTTGTCTCACTGAGACAGGGGATGGCGTTATAGCGCTTCTTAGTACGAATGGACATCTAATATGAAATGCAATGACAGCTAAAAGAAGTCAAATTTTATTGTTGTGTATACTGAATAGAATTTCAATGCTGTTCATCAAATCCAAAAAAAAAAAAAAAAAAAAAAAAAAAAATACCTGCGAATATATACAAATTACTTTTCCGATCACAAAGCGAATAGAAGAATAGAGAAGAATAGAAGAAGAAATTAACTCTTATCGAGAGAATAAGCGCAGCATTTGATTTTAGGCGCTCGTAGGTCAGATGATTTCATTCTTCTGAGTTACTCCGCTAAAGTAGAGAGAAGACCTATTATGGTATTTGGTTTTTTGAAAAGTGTTCTTTTCGAAATAAATCCGCGTTTTCGGCGGTATCGGTGTCAGTGCAGTGGATTCTTAGACGCACTTCAAGCCTTCAACACAACATTTGCTAAACTATTATTGGAATTATTGAACTTCACGCGGTTTGCATGCTTCGATTTAATTACAAGAATAAAAAAAACGAACAATATTAAACTATGAAAACCCTTTTCTTATTCAAAAAAAAAAAAAAAAAAAAAAAAAAACATTCCCAAAGTACATATAATAATTTTAAATAAAAATTTGTGAAAATTATTATAATGAAATGTTAGTTACCTTAAGCAATTTTTTTTTGAAAATATTACTGTGGTTGTAATTATTCTACATATGTATTATATATTATATATATATATATATATATATATATATATATTATATTTATATATATGTATACATATTTGAAAAAATCTAATAAATATTTTTAAATTTTCAAAAATTAAAGGTGTAAAGGTGGTGAACAAAAGTTATGCTGAATGAAACTTAAGCGTCGGATTTTGTAAAGATGATTAGATGATGATTGTTGGATTAAAAAAAGTAAACCTGGCTTGACGTTAGACATGTCAATAATAATAATAATAAAAGCTTTTGAGCAAATTTAATTTTTAATTTTTTGGCATATATCATAACATCATATCATATATATATTTTATATATTTTATATATCATATTCTAACTTGAAGCCTGTCTCTTTTTTTTTTTTTTTTGTTTTTTTTTTTGTTTTGGTTTTGTAATTATGAAAATGGAAGGAAAAATTAGTTTAAGTAACATCTGAAAATATATAAAAAAAAAATGGTTAATATAGAGAAACAATTTTATAAAAACTTATATAAATATATTTTAAAATGTATATGAGAAGAAGAGTGTAAAGAGAATCAGTTATATATATTAAGTAAATATAGTTCTCAAAAATATTAATGAAATTTCATATTTATAAAAGTATTCTTTAATAATTTTTAATATATCGCAAAATGAAAATTTTTTTTTTTTTTTTTTTTTTACAGATAAGCATGTAAACAGAAATAAAGAAAATTTTTAATTTGAATAATGAAAAACGTGCGATAAGATATCTAAATAATAATAATAATAATGTTTGCAAAATTGACACGAAAGAAAAAATTTTGCCTAGATTTTGAAGTAGTGGGCGAGTCGGAGAGATTCTTTTTTTTATATTTTTTTTTTCAAATAGTCTTTTTTTTTTTTATTAATTAAAATCGCAGCAGCTCGTTCTTATGTAAAGTAATTTTTCATGTATTTGTCACAGTTAGGAGACGCACATACTTATATTCCAATCGGGGAAGACAAAGAAGAAGAAAGCCGAACCTGAATAGTGCAACACAAATCGAGTAAAAAAATTCGGGAGGGTAAAATGTAAATTACTATTGTTGTTGTTGTTGATGATGATGCTTTTGTTAAGCAAATTAGAGGGAGTTCACTCTGATATAACTTTTAATGAAAAATTAATATTGTACAGTTAACGAGTTTTATTGCTGATGGCAAAAAAAAACTATTTAAATCGGACAGGCCTGGAAAATGCATTTTTCTCACAGATTGATTTTTCAATTCTTACTTATAAAGGAGACGTAAAAATTTCATTAATGTCCATCAGTCGTCTTCATATTAAGAATAGACATGTGGCTGCGATGGCTCGCTATTACATTGCGAAGAACGATTCAGTTTAAATTTGCTTTAAATTCAG